CCTGTGGAATAAACTTCCTAAAAGGAAAACGTGAAATAACGACCGACAATAATTAATTTGTACAATTTACTGGTAGCCGATAGACACAAAATATTTTTATCAGTAAAAGCGGTCCAGTGTGAGTTAAGAACATCAGTGGGCCTGGTCAGATGTCTGCAAGCCGAGACAACCGTTGCAGACCGCGCTGCTGCAGTGCCACACTTCCAGTGGTGACTTTGCAGTGCTCTCTCTCTCTCTCTCTCTCTCTTCACCAGTCCGCAATGTCAAAGAACTGTGTAAAGCTCCTCTGTGAAGATCCAGTTTTTGCAGAATATATAAAATGTATTCTGATGGACGAAAGGACCTTTCTTAACAACAACATTGTATACACCTTTTTGACCCATTTTCTTCTAAAGGTAGGTGCTCTTTTAGTGGTAATTTCTATTTCAAGAAATGCAGTCATGTATGGGATTTCAGTCTAGGATACTGTTTTCACAGTTCCATTTTTTTGTGGTTTAAAAAAAAAATACATTCTTCTCACAGGTCCAAGGGCAGGTGTTTTCTGAAGCAAACTGTGCCAACTTAATCAATACTCTAGTTACAAACCTAATCAATCAATATCAAAGCCTAGAATCTGACTTCAGCAACCAGAGAGTTGAAATTTCCAAAGCAAGCTCTACTTTGAATGGGGTGAGTCTTTTCTAAGCCATTCAAGTATGGGCATCATTTAGGAGGTAGATAATTTGCTACAGCAGCTCGTCAGTGCCACGTGGCAGGCTGTAATTAAAGAGGTGGGCATCGTGAGCTCTACTGGGTGCCTAAGCCAGGCTCCTGGGGAGAGCATGGGAGGCCACCTGAACTGTCTGGCTGTAACGTACTGCCAATGTACAGGGCAGGAATCGGAGCTCTCCAGAACTCTCCATTCCTCACGTACGCGCTCCCTCGGCGTGCACAGCGTATGTCCTTGGGGCGCCCAAGCTGATGGTGGGGACCACAAGACTGGGGGCAGCGGGCAGCTGACTCTGTGTGTGGAGGGAAAGTAATGCGAAGCGCAGTAGAGTTAATCGTAGAAAAGTTGTAACCCAGCAAAAGATTGTGTCTTACAGCGAGCAGCATGGTACTGTCATCTGCTCAGGACAGGTCTATGTTAAGGTCAGCAAACTAGGAGCAAGTGGTAGCTTTCAGTAGCGTTAAGTATATTTAGAATTTGATCTTTTGGATGTTCAGAATGTGTTAAAGCCTCTGCTTTATTGCACAGGTCTGTCTGTGTGTAGGGTCAATCAAGTACGAGTTTGAAATGAGGCTAGTTAAATGTGTTCACTTCTGTATTTCTAGGACCTCCGAGCACTTGCGTTGCTGCTTTCAGTGCACACTCCCAAGCAGCTCAATTCAGCCCTGATTCCAACGTTACAAGAGCTTTTAAGCAAATGTAGAGCTTGTCAACAACAGAGGAACTCATTACAAGAGCAAGAAGCCAAAGAAAGAAAAACTAAAGGTTTGCCTTCAATGAGTGTCGCTCTAACAATTCTGAGGTTTTACAAACTTTTACAAACTTTTACAAACTTTTACAGGAGCGTACTGCATTGTTTCCTTGCCACTGCAGGTGGGCTGTTTCTTGTCTCCAAGCCCCAGCGCTACACAAGAAATGCTATTTTATCATGGAGCTAAAATTCTCAGCAATGGCATTAATTGTGTGCCAGGAAATAAGCATTTCCTGAAGTACTGTGTTTAATATGGAAAAGGATAAAAATGTGAAAGGAAAGGCCTATTACTTGGGTGTGTGGCACAAGAACAATGCGTTTTCCCTTTTTCTTTACAGATGATGAAGGAGCTACTCCTGTAAAGAGAAGACGGGTCAGCAGCGACGAGGAGCACACTGTAGATAGCTGTATCAGTGACACAAAAACTGAACCCCGGGAGGCGTTGACCCCAACAAGCACTTCGGATAATGAGACACGGGACTCTTCGATTATTGACCCAGGCACTGAGCAAGATCCTCCTTCCCCCGAGAACAGTTCTGTCAAAGAGTACAGAATGGAAGTTCCATCTTCATTTTCAGAAGACATAATGTTAGCGACGCGGTCACAGCACACGGAAGAGCAGTCAGGAAATGGTAAATTTGAAGAATGCAAAGAATTTAAAGACCTGCAGACTTCCAAGGATTCCATTGGAGCCGAGGAGGACTCGGAGTTTCCTTCCACATCAATTTCAGCAGTTTTATCTGACCTTGCGGATTTGAGGAGCTGTGATGGTCAAGCCTTACCATCCCAGGACCCTGATACTAGTTTATCAATCAGTTGTGGCCATTCCAGAGGACTTTTTAGTCATATGCAGCAGCATGACATTTTAGACATCCTGTGTAGGACCATTGAGTCTACCATTCATGTGGTCACAAGGATATCTGGAAAAGGAAACCAAGCTGCTTCTTGACATTAGATGGAGCATGTCTGCTTTTAAGTCTTTTT